TATCCATCCGAGCACGATCGATGGCATGAATCGGTACTGTGACTCGGTGAGGGTCGGTGAGGTTGGGCGAGCAGGCAGTCCCGTCAGTAGTTGGCCCAATTTCTACTAACTGCTGGCATTTCCCTGCCTCTGAGACTCCCTCCCCTGCTCTGCTCCGCGGCGCCTTAGCTCCTCTGGGCACTCGCTTTTGCGATGGCCCGGCCTGTTGCAAGCAAAGCAGCGCCCCTTAAACGGCGCGACAGCTGCATTCGTCGCAACGGCGTGTACGGTGGCGTGCTCGATCGGTCCCTGGGGGCGATGTCCGTAGTAGGACCCTGGTCTCAGACGGCGTAAAATGTCGATTTTCTCGGTGAGCGCGAGGATCTCGTTGAAATTCGAGAGCCCGCGTAGCATGATTTCGTGCGAGATGTCCGGCTTCAGCCCTCCGACGTAACGGTCCACCCGCTCCGCTTCGTGCATGTAGCCGACTTGCTCGCATAATGCGAGAAAACCGCTCGTGTAGTCTTGAACTGATCCGAGCTGCCGCCAAGTGTCAAACTTATATGCTGCATGTTGTGTAGGCTATAGCGGGGTAGCCCATATAGGGTACAACCCAATAAGTGTTTGCTACTTGTACCCATCTTGCTGGTAGTTCATTCATTCTCGTTCGTACTTCTGACATGGTTTCAGAGCAGGTCCTAGCCTAGGACCAATTTTTTTTAGGGCCCACCGAATCGCGCTACCCCACGAGTCGTGCCGCCCCATTAGTGCCGCGCTGCTTTGCCCTGCCCTGCGTCGCGCTGCCCCGCGCACGCCCTGCCCTGCGTCGCACTGCCTGCGCACGCCCTGCCATGCCTTGCCCGCGCGCAGCTCGCTGCCGCGCCGCCGCCCTACCCGCGCGCCGCTCACCGCCGCGCGCCCTGCCCTGCCCGCGCGCCGCGCGACGCCGCGTCGCCCTGCCCGCGCGCCGCTTGCCGCCACGCTCCTGCCATGCCCGCGCGCCGCTCGTCGCGCCGCGCCGCTCTGCCCGCGCGCCGCTCGCCGCCGCGCGCCCTGCCCTGCCCACGCGCTGCTCGCCGCCGCGCTCCCTGCCCTGCCCGCGCGTCGCTGGCCGCCGCGCCACCCTGCCCTGCCCGCACGCCGCTCGCCGCCGCGCCGCCCTGCCTTGCCCGCGCGCCGCTCGCCGCCGCGCCGCCCTGCCCTGCTCGCGCGCTGCTCATCGCCGCGCCGCCCTGCCCTGCTCGCGAGCCGCCATGCTGGCCGCCGCCCTGCCCTGCCCACTGCGCCGCCCTACTCTGGCCGCGCGCCGCCCTTCCCTGACCGAGCGCCGCCCCGACCTACTCTCGTGCCTGCTCGTCGCTCTGCCTTCCCTGCGTGTTGCCGTGCCGGTCGCACACCTCCTTACTTTGCCCGCTATGACGTCTCTTCGTGGTAGCGGTGGGAGTGGTGGCGGTGGTGGTGGCAGTAGTGGGAGTGGTGGCGGCGGCCGTGGTGGCAGTCTCGGTGGAGCTGTTCGGTGGGGAGTTTCTGGCGGTGGCCAGCTGCAGCTCCAGCGACGTCCGCGCGAGACCCTCACACCCCTGCAGCTTCGTGAGTGGTTCGCTAGTTCGAGTAGTGGCGGCGGCCGTAGTGGCAGTCGCCGTGGAGCTGTTCAGTGGGGTGCTTCTTGCGGTGGCCAAATGCAGCTGCAGCGGTGTCCGTGAGAGACCCTTACGCCCCAGCAGCTTCGTGAGTGGTTCGCTCAGCTTGGGGCGTCTCGGAGTACTGCTCGCTGCTCGTACGTCATTCGCATAGGTGATCGGGCTGGTCAGACTTGCGGGACAGTTGGTCACACACAGTCCCGCTGCTTCTCCTGTCTGAACAACGCCTGGCGTGCAGAGTTTGGCGACGCGGCTGAGCTCCCCCGCTGGCTGGAGCTGCTTAGGCAGAGGGTGGATATCTTTGCTGTTGGCTATGATGCTATCCTCACTGCCATGTATGCATTGACTGTTATTGCTAAGGGTGCATGTTACCTGTGTGTGCCGCCCGACCCATGTATAGAGGCTGCTGCTCTAGGTGCTAGTGAGTCTGCTGCTCTAGGTGCTAGTGAGTCTGCTCTCTCTGGTACTGCGCCTGCTGCGGCCTTGCACACCTTCACGCTTGACTCAGGTGCTTCCCGCTGTTTCTTTCGCGACAATACCATAGTCACACCACTCCCTGCACCTGTTGCAGTCTCTCTGGCTGACCCCTCTGGGGGCCCAGTTCTTGCACGTTCCTCCACTGTTCTCCCGTGTCCGGCGGTTCCGTCTGGCTCACTGTCAGGTCTTTGCCTCCCCTCGTTCTCTACGAACTTTGTGAGCAACGCCGTCCTTCAGGATGAATGGGTTGATACCTTCACCCCTGGAGGACAGCGTGTGGCGATCTGTACGTGCTCCCGGACTGGCCGTCACCTGGCCACGTTCACCCGTCGGCCTGGGTCGAGTCTGTACACACTGACTACTGAGCCTCCCCAGGTAGCTGCGTCTGCGTCTTTCAGGTCAGCTAGCGGCCCCCTGCTCGTGTCACGCCCTGTCGCACCAGACGCTCCTTTAGCACCACCGTCTTGGTCACCCCTCCGTGCCACGCCTCCGTGGCATGCACTCCCGTCTCCTTGTCTCTGGTCTTCCCAGGTCTCTACCTCCCCTCCCACCCTCGCCTGCCCCTCCCTGCCTTCCCTGTGTCGAGGGGCGGCAGCGCGCCGCTCCTCACTCCTCCTCGCTTCCCCCGACGACTGCTCCCCTGCAGACTCTCCACATGGACGTGTGGGGCCAGCCCGCGTCCGTGGACAGGGCCGCGAGCGCTACTTTCTGCTGGTTGTTGACGACTACTCGCGTTACACCACGATCTTCCCCTTGCGCAGCAAGGGGGAGGTCCCTGATGTTTTGATCCCTTGGATCCGCGCTGTCCGTCTCCAGCTCCGCGACCGGTTCCACGCGGACCTTCCAGTCCTGCGTCTGCTCTCTGACAGATGTGGTGAGTTTTCCTCCGATCCTTGCGGGACTTTTGTCGTGGGGAGGGCATTCGCCAGTCGTTCACGCTTCCGGCCTCTCCGCAGCAGAATGGGGTTGCTGAGCCGCATTGGCTTAGTCATGGAGGTTGCTCGTACCTCCATGATCCATGCGGCTGCCCCTCAATTCTGTGGCCGTTTGCGGTCCGGTACGCTGCGCATCAGCTCAACCTCTGGCCCCGTGTCTCTGTCAACATATATTTTATATGTGTTGTTTAGGTTAGTCTAGGTGTTACATTTCTACTTCCATGCATGATTAGGGTTTGCTATATCTAGGGTTGTACTTCACATTTTCTATCAATTCATTCTTATCGTAACATGGTATAGAGCTAGGTTGCGATTTTTCCCCTAGGCGATTTTTCCCCTAGGCGAAATTTCTCTCGATAGTCTATGGGCCCACCACCTGCGCGCCTCGTAGCGACCCGTAGCCCGAAGCGCCCTGCCCCGTAGAGCCCGAGTAGACCGCGCCCCCCGTCACCATCGCGCGTCACCCGTTTCTGCCCTGCGCCCCACCCGTTTTTGCCGTGCGTCACTCGGTTTTCTGCCCCGCGCCCCACTCGTTTTACCCCGCGCGTTGCCCCCCAGCCCTCTAGCGCGTAGCAGACGAACGCGCGTAGCTGCGCGCGCAGCCTTAGTCGCACCCGCAGCTACGCGCTAGTACGTCGCGACCGCACGCACGTGCAGCAACAGCGGCGCGCGCGTGCATCCCACCGTCATAACCGCCCCCAGACCTGAAAACCCCCGCCCCAGACCTGACAACCGCCGTCCCACCTGGAAACCTGCTGCCCCACCCGTTCCAGGCACCTCACCCGGAATCAGCCGCCCCACCCAGTGCTCTCCACCGCATTGAACCACACAGAACCGCACAGAACTGCACATAACCGCACAGAACCGCCGCCTCACCTTCCCCACCCGTAGCCCGCTGCCTAAACAGCTGCCCCACCTGACACCTGCCTCCCCACGAGCTGCCACACCCGCCGCCAGTAGCACCAGTAGATTACACTGCCGTCAGTAGCACCAGCAGCAGCATAGGCTGCCCCCAGCGCACCAGCAGCAGCGTAGGCTGCCCCCAGCAGAACCAGAAGCAGCATAGGCTGCCGCCAGCGCACCAGTAGCAGCATTGGCTGCCCACAGCAAAACCAGTAGCAGCTAAGGCTGCCCCCAGCAGAGCCAGAAGCAGCATAGGCTGCCCCCAGCGAACCAGCAGCAGCATAGGCTGCCCCCAGCGCACCAGCAGCAGCTTAGGCTACCGCCAGCGCACCAGCAGCAGCATTGGCTGCCCCCTGGAGATCCAGTAGCAGCCTAGGCTGCCCCCCAGCAGAACCAGAAGAAGCACAGGCTGCCCCCAGCGCACCAGCAGCAGCTTAGGCTGCCCCCAGCAGAACCAGCAGCAGCATAGGCTCACATGGCGTGTACTAGGGTTCTACAGCAGCAAGGCCAGCCGCAGCACTCCCATCAGTGGGGGCCTGCGGGTCCAAAGTGTGGCGCCCCCAGCAGTGGCTCAGCTAGCAGTGGGCGAGACGTCGGCCCCTGCGGGTACCGGGCCCTGACAGGCCCTGGTGCTGGCACTACCTGCTGGAGTCCTGACCACACTGCGTCCAGCTGCTACCGTCGACTCGACGACCTCCACCGTGAGCGTTTTGGTCCTCACGCTATTACACCGCACTGGCCCTCGCGCCTTCGCCAGCGCACTACTGCACTAGTTGAGTCTCACCTACCTGGTCTAGGACCTTTCCCGGCTGCACGAGTAGAGACCTGTGTTTCCAGTCTTGGTGCGTGTGTTGTTTCCAGTCCAGGCGTCTCTGAGGGTCTTTGTGTAGGAGCTGCAGCTACCACTAGTCTAGCACCAGCCTTTGTCGCTGGCTCGGGTGCGATCTCACAGACTCCACAGCTTTCCTTCACCCTAGCCTCTGGAGCGTCCAGCTGTTTCTTTCGCGACTGTACTGACCTCACACCACTGCGCACTCCAGTCACTGTCGCTTTGGCTGACCCCAGCATGGGACCTGTGGTTGCCCACAGCACCACCACTCTTCCGTGTCCAGCGGGTCCCTCTGGGTTTCTCACAGGTTACTACACCCCTTCGTTCTCCAGGAACCTCGTGGGTGTCAGTCACCTCCACGACCTAGGTGTAGTCACTACTTTCCCACTGGACGAGCCTGTTGCCTCCTACACTGTCGGTGCCACTGGGGCGCCTCTGGCCACTTTCCACAGAGAGCCGGGATCTGGTCTGTACTCACTACACACTGGGTCCCACCACACTGAGTCAGATCAGGTCAGGTCAGGTCAGGTAGCTGCTGTGTCGTGCGACTGTCGGTCACTCGCCCACCCGTCGGTCCTCTGGCATCACCGTCTAGGTCTCAGGTCTCCCAGCGTCGCTTGCCCCGCTTCCTCGCTCGCCTGCGCCGCCGTGCACTCCTTGCGTCGAGGGTCGGCAGCGCGCCGCCCCTCACTCCTCCTCGTTCCCCCCCACCACGGCTCCCTTCCAAACCCTGCACTTTGACGTTTGGGGCCCCTCCCCTGTCCTTGGCCCACGTCAGGAACGCTACTTCCTGATTGTGGTGGACGACTATTCCCGCTACACCACGGTTTTCCCCTTGCGACGGAAGGCCGACGTGTCTACCGTCCTCGAGCCATGGCTCCTAGCGTGGGGTGGCGCCCAGGGCCTGTGTGGGCTTCGCCTACACTCGGACCGTGGTGGTGAGTTTTCTTCCACTCGCCTAGAGACGTTCTGTCAGGGTCGGGGAGTCATTCAGTCGTACACGCTACCAGCCTCGCCGCAGCAGAACGGGGTAGCCGAGCGTCGCATCGGCCTGGTCATGGAGGTTGCCCGGACCTCCATGTGCCATGCCGGTGCCCCTCAGTTCTTGTGGCCTCAGGTAGTCCGCTACGCCGCGCACCAGCTGAACCTGTGGCCCAATGACGCACGGCCACGGGTGACGCCGGTCTCTCTCTGGTCAGGTTTACAGGGCGTAGCAGCTGACTTCCGCGTCTGGGGTTGTCTGGCTCACGTTCGCGCCCCTGGCGCGAACAAGTTATCTCCGCACACTCGTGCCTGCGTCTTTCTTGGCTTCCCTTTGGACGCCTCCGGCTGGGTGTTCTACGACCCGGTCACCTGCGGGTTCTTCGCTTCTCGGGATGTCACGTTCGACGAGTCTGTCTGTTACTACAGGAGTCGTCCCCAGCGAGGTACTGAGGTCTTTCCCCCCCCGCTGTTCCTCACCCTTGAGCCCCCCCCAGTCGCCCCGGTAGCCCCCCCCGCTTTGCGTCCTGCCCCTTCAGGTGTGTCGCACGTCACTCCGCAGTCGTCCCCCCCGCAGCGTCCAGTCCCTGTCGTGTCTGGGGGTGCGGGAGGTGCAGTTGCGGAGGGTGAGGATGCTGGGGCTGGAGGAGCTCGTGGTGTCGGTTCAGGGGGTGCAGTGGGTGTGGGCGTGGAGGTCACTCCCGTGGAGGACACGGCAGCCTCGAGTCGGCGGCCTCGCCCCGCGTCACCCCCCGGCTTCCCGGTCGTCCCTCAGTTCCCTCCTTGTTCACCTCTGCGGCTGGTTGCTGCGGAGCCTGGGGGTGCTCCTACGAGAGGTACTGGAGGCCCCGGGGGTGTCGCTAGTGGAGGTGCTGGTTCTGGGGGTGCTGGAGCTGGAGGCACTGGCACTGTGGCGCCTACACCGCGCACTGTACGTTTCCTGACCCGGCGTCTCCTCCGGTTGGAGAGGGAGGAGCGTGAGCGGTTTGAGAGGGCACAGCAGCTGCAGCAGCAGCAGCAGGAGCAGGAGCAGCAGCAGCAGCAGCAGTAGCAGCAGCAGCAGCAGCAGCAGCAGCAGCAGCAGCAGCAGCAGCAGCAGCAGCAGCAGCAGCTACAGCAGCAGGAGAGAGTAGAGGAGGAGTCACAGCAGCAGCACGAGAGGGTAGCGCAGGAGTCCCGGTCGCAGCAGCGGGTGCAGCTGCAGCCGCAGCAGGAGAGGGTAGAGGAGGAGTCACGACCGCACCAGGAGAGGGTAGAGCAGGAGTCACGCCCGCAGCAGCAGGTGCAGTTACAGACCCAGCAGGAGAGAGTACAGGGGGAGTCACGGCCGCACCAGGAGAGGGTAGAGCAGGAGCCCCGCCCGCAGCAGAAGGTGCAGTTACAGACCCAGCAGGAGAGAGTAGAGGAGGAGTCACGGCCGTAGTAGGAGAGGGTAGCGCAGGAGTCCCGGTCGCAGCAGCGGGTACAGCTGCAGCCGCAGCAGGAGAGGGCAGAGGCGGAGCCACAGGAGCAGCAGCAGGGGCCGGTACCGTCGCAGCAGACGCCAGAGGAGGCGGAGCAGCAGCGACTGCGACTCCGCGACCTCCCCGACCCAGCACCTGCACGCTTTGTTCGTGGTCCCCTACCGTCCCCTCCTGTTCCCCCTGTTGAGTCCCTTTCCTCGTCCCTGTGGACTCGTCATCCTCCCCTCAGTCGTGCTGTTTCTCCACAGCCCCGTCGGTCCCGTTACCGTGCAGACGGTCCGTTTCACCTTGTTCTCCGCTCTCGTGTTCCACCTCCTCCTGTCCTTCCACAGCCCCCTGAGTCGTCCCTCACTGTGCTTCACGACCCGTTGTCCGACTACCTCCGTGCCTCCCGTCCTGTCGTCTCCCGTGTTTTGTCCGCGTTGGTCACTCACCCGACTGCACCTCTGTCGTCTGTCTCAGCACTTGTTACCACTGTCGCTGGCTTTGCCTCTTCCCATCGCCTTGACTACGCCGCTCACTTGGTGAGTGGCCCTGCTCGTTCTCCGTTCTCTGGGGGTGCTCCTGTTTTTCCCCTAGAGGTCCTCGAGGACAGGCAGTTCGAGCTTGGTTTCCTTGCGGCCGCTGTTCCTCATTTCTGTGCCATGCTACTTGCCCCTGAGGGGGATCCAGACGCCCTTGACATCCCGATCCCTCGCACTCACGCCGAGGCGGTCTCGGGACCCTGGGCTTCGTACTGGATAGCAGCTGAGGAGGCAGAGATGGCATCTTATAGGTCCACAGGCACTTACGTCGACGCAGTCCCACCACCTGGGACGAACGTCGTCAGTGGCCGATGGCTCTACAAGGTGAAGCGGCCGCCTGGATCACCACCAGTGTTCAAGGCGCGCTATGTGGCGAGAGGCTTAAGTCAGCGAGAGGGCGTAGACTTCTTCCAGACCTTCGCTCCCACCCCGAAGATGAGTACTCTTCGGGTGTTGCTGCATATTGCAGCCCAGCGCGACTACGAGTTGCACTCCTTGGACTTCTCCACCGCGTTCCTTTAGGGGAGCCTGCACGAGCAGATCTGGCTGCGTCGCCCGCTTGGCTTCACTGGCTCTTTCCCACCTGGGACCCAGTGGCAGCTGCGTCGACCAGTCTACGGCCTGCGTGAGGCTCCACGTGAGTGGCACGACACACTTCGCTCGACCCTTGCAGCGCTTGACTTCTTTCCGTCGTCTGCTGACCCGTCACTGTTCGTTCGCCGTGGCTCGACCCCGTTCTTTGTCCTGGTCTACATCGACGACCTGGTGTTCGCCACTCCCGACCGACGCGCGCTGGCCTCCGTGAAGGAGGAACTGCAGAGGAGACACACTTGCACTGACCTTGGTGAGCTGTAGCACTACCTTGGCCTGCAGATCACCAGGGACAGGGCAGCTCGCACCATTACGCTGACTCAGTCGCATATGGTCGAGCAGATCCTCACGCGATTTCGCTTCCCGTTCTCCAAGGTACAGCTCACCCCTCTTGGTGTGGATCATGGGCTCACGGCTCCACCTTCGGACGAGTCATTTGAGTCCAGTGGTCCATATCCTGAGCTGGTGGGTTGTCTCATGTACCTGATGACCTGTACTCGCCCAGACCTAGCTTACCCTCTTAGCGTCCTTGCGCGCTTTTTTGCGCCTGGGAGACACCGACCTTCCCACTGGTACGCTGCTACGAGGGTGGCGAAGTATGTGGCGAGTACATCAGGCATGGGACTTGTCCTTGGAGGGAAGCAGCCAGTTACACTCACAGGTTACTCGTACTCGTCGTGGGCCGACGACGCGGAGACGCGTCGGTCTACACAGGGGTACTCCTTTAGCCTCGGGGCAGGTGCTGTTTCGTGGCGGTCGACTCGGGCGTCGTCCGTCGCCGGTTCCAGCTGTGAGGCAAAGGTGTACGCTGTGGCCATGGCCGCTCAGGAGCTTCGCTGGCTGTCTTTCCTTCTCACCGACCTTGGTGAGCGGCCTCGCTCTCCCCCAGTCTTGTTCGCCGACAACAGGTCTGCCGTCCTGTTGTGTGAGGAGCCCCGACTGGTTGGGAAGGCGAAGCACATCCAGCTTTGTTACTTCCTTCTGCGTGAGTTGCAGCAGCGTGGCCAGGCACTCGTACGACGTGTGGTCTCTGAGGCCAACACTGCAGATCTCTTCACGAAGGCGTTGCCGCCTCGTGATCACCAGCATTTCTGCACCCAGCTTGGCCTTGTGTGGGCCCGTCCTCACTTGCTTACGTAGATGATTTGTCCTTATTGTCTTGTACTTTTGCATCTCATTATATTTGCTATATACCTGCATGTGAACTGGCCTTGTGGCTCTTTTGCTTGCTCTCGGACTGTGTGGTGACTTTGAGCTCCACCGTGAGATTTGTCTTGTTCTTGTGGACTGGTCTTGTGACCCTTGCTTGTTCTTGCTGACTGGTCATGTGACCCTTGCTTGCTCTCAGACTGTGTGTGTCCTTGAGACCCACCCTGAGATATGTGTTGTTTTTCCACGGGCTTACCGTCACCTAGACTATGGGGGTGTGTCAACATATATTTTATATGTGTTGTTTAGGTTAGTCTAGGGTTTACATTTCTACTTCCTTGTATGATTAGGGTTTGCTATATCTAGGGTTGTACTTCACATTTTCTATCAATTCATTCTTATCGTAACAGTCTCCTTGCCGGAGACCTCGCCTACACTGCGTTGGATGGGGAAGGTTGGCGATGCGTCGGTGTTCCGGGTCTGGGGCTCTCGTGCCTTTGTCCGCGATACGTCCGCGGACAAGCTCTCCTCCCGCGCCATTCACTGCCTCTTCCTTGGCTTTCCCCCTGACGCGCTTGGCTGGCAGTTTTACCACCCCACCTCGCGGTGTGTCCTGCCCTCTCAGGACGTCACGTTCGACGAGTCGGTTCCCTTTTACCGTCTCTTCCCCTACCGCACTGCCCCTCTCCCCCCCCCCACCGCTCTTCCTCGCACCACGTCCTCCTCCGGTAGACCCCCTCCCCCCTCAGGGTCCTGCTCCCTCAGGTGTGTCTCAGGTAGACCCTGTCGAGCCTGTCGAGGTCGCTGTCATCTCTGGTGCTGCTGGGGGTGGTGCTGCTAGGGGTGCTGCGTGTGGGAGTGCTGAGCCTGAGCGTGCGGAGCCGGGGGGTGCTGAGCCTGAGCGTGTGGAGCCTGGGGGTGCTGAGCCTGAGGTTGCTGAGTCTGAGGGTGCGGAGCCTGGGGGTGCGGAGCCTGAGCGTGCGGAGCCTGGGGGTGCTGAGCTTGGGGGTGCTGAGCCTGAGCGTGCGGAGCCTGGGGGTGCTGAGCTTGGGGGTGCTGAGCCTGAGAGTGCTGCGCCTGGAGGTACTTTGTCTACTGGAGGTTCTCCGGGTGCCTCGTCACGGCGTGAGACCCTCTCTCCACCGCAGCTACGAGAGTGGTTTACTCGGCGCTAGAGCCTTCGGAGTGACGCTGCTAGAGCTGGGGGGCCTGCCACTGGAGACCCTAGAGCTGGAGGCGCTGGAGCTGGAGGTACCGGAGGTACTGGAGCTACTGGTCGTGGAGGTGCTGGAGGTACTGGAGGTTCTCCAGATGCCTCGTCCCAGCGGGAGCCTCTCTCTCCACCGCAGCTGCGCGAGTGGTTTGCTCGGCGCTGGAGTCTTCAGAGTGGCGCTGCTGAAGCTGGGGGGCCTGCCGCTGGAGGCCCTGGAGCTGGAGGCCTTGGAGCTGCTGGTCCAAGAGGTGCTGGAGGTACTGGAGCTACTGGAGCTGGTGGTGCTGGAGGCACTGGAGCTGGAGCTGCTGGAGGTGTTGGAGCCGCTGGTCCCGGAGGTGCTCGTACTGGAGGTACTGGAGCTGCTGGAGCTGGTGATGCTGCAGCTACTAGAGCTGCTGGAGGCGCTGGAGCTGGAGCTGCTGGAGGTGCTAGAGCCGCTGGTCCCGGAGGTGCTCGTACTGGAGGTACTGGAGCTGCTGGAGCTGGAGGTGCTGCAGGCGTTGGAGCTGGAGGCGCTGGAGCTACTGGAGCTGGAGGCGCTAGAACTGCTGGAGGTGCTAGAGCCGCTGGTCGCGGAGGTGCTCGTACTGGAGGAACTGGAGCTGCTGGAGCTGGAGGTACTGTAGGAGTTGGAGCTGGAGGCGCTGGAGCTGGAGCTGCTGGAGGCGCTTAGCTGGAGGCACTGGAGCTGGAGCTAGTAGTGCTGCTGGCGTTTGAGCTGGAGACCCTGGAGCTGGAGGTGATGGCCCTAGGGGTGCTAGTGCTGTCGGTGCTGGTTCTGGAGGCACTGTGCGGCCGCGACCGTACTTCGTTCCACTGCTTCAGCAGGTTCTTGGTCTCTCGCCTTCTACTGGCCTTACTCCTCCCTTACTGTGTCCACCACCTGACCAGTCGCAGCCGCAGTTACAGCCAGCCTCCCCACTGCCTGCTCCTTCTCCTTACACTGAGCACACAGGCGGTTTAGGAGCGCGTCGTGAGCCTGAGTCTCGTCCTGCGTCGCCTGTTCGCGTTGTTCGCACTGGTTGTCGTGTTCCGCGTCCGCTTCCTCCTCCTGTCCCAGGCACGCACCAGATGGCACTTCGTCCTTCCTCTGTTCCACAGCGTGTCC